CCCCCCATGCATAATTTATTATTCATTTAGGACTCAGTTACTATATATCTCATCTGTTTTTTGCCGAAGTAAAATAGTACAAAACAGACAATTAGAAGCTAGTGTTTGCATTTGAGATCAGATATGGCCAAAAACAACCGACTTTGAATGCGCAACGTTTCTGTTAATTGATTAAGCGACTGGACGACTAGCACAAGAGTTGTTATCGTTAAATTGGCCACAGCTATTTCTGCTCTGCACTCGGCCTTGCATATTGATTCAGGTGTAGGTGGTTTTGTACGCTCCACCTTAATAGCAATGTTGGATTCTGAAACTAGCTGAAGATCTGTTTCTTGGTATTGATCGCTGTAGGCGGTGGAATAATGTCATGTGTCTTCTAACAGGTTGTGGAGGATGGATATGAGTTCTTTGCCAAACGCCAACTGGTCACACTTTTCTCTGCTCCAAACTACTGCGGGGAGTTTGACAATGCAGGCGGCATGATGAGTGTTGATGAATCCCTCATGTGTTCCTTCCAGGTAGTGTAAAAAACCAAAGGGACACACTTGCATTGATACTAATGGCCCTTTTGGAATTTGGCTTGAAATGCTCACACGTGCTTCTTCTTTCTCTGTGTTTGTGTCTCATTATTAAAGATCCTGAAGCCCTCAGAGAAGAAGGCCAAGTATCAGTATGGTGGTGTAAATTCTGGTCGGCCCGTCACCCCACCCCGCACCGCCCAAGCCCCCAAGAAGAGGTGAACGTACAGCCTTGGCTCTTCCCCTTCCTTCTCACCCTGTCCGTCCCTGGTCTGCCACCACGGCAACCCCTGTAACTCCCCTGTATAGCGAAGATACAGGGCTTATCTAATTGCCCAAATCTTACTTCTCTTTCTTCCCCACTCACCCACCTCCTCTCCAACTCCACTGACAGCTCTTTTCTTAATGTGTATGTGTACATAAATTTGCTGTGATCAATCTGTTGTTTTTTTTTTTCGTTTTTGTTTTTTTGCCTGTTTGTTGGTATTTTTGATATTATTAACAGATAATCTTTTTTGTGGTTTTACTTCCACTGCCATTTGAGGTTTTCTGAGGTTCTGTGTCGTGAAAGGAAATGCCTTCTCTGTGTAGAGAGGCAGAGCGACTGAGTTAGACGAATTCTTTTTCAGTTCAGTAACAAAAACACAGTAGAGATTGAACATTGTTTTGCCTTGACCTCTCATAAAGCAGAGAGAATCCTTCCAATGTATTTCAGTGAGTCTGAGGTTTCCATGCGATGCAAAAATCTCTAGACACAAATAACAATTGTCTTATTCCAGCGTAGTTGAAATACATTATAGCATGTGTGGTGAACTTGCGGTTGTTGTGCACATTTTATATATATGTAACTATTGAACAAGTGCACCTCCCCATGAGTAGCAAAGAATGTGAAGAGACTGGCGTGAATGAAATATAGAGGCTAAATCAGAAGCTGCTGGCAGTGGACACGCTTTACCCCGACACAACGCCCTCTGGGCATCGATTCCTCCGCTCCGTTGTGCCTCCCTGTGCCTCGACTCCACACCCACACAAAAACATGCCGCTTCTCACACAGAGCTGGTATTGACATTTTCCTGGGTCTATTTAATATTTGTTCTCATCAAGATCATTTACCCCGTATGATCCTCTTGATTTACAGTGATAAAATGCTAAGTGAAATAATATTGTGCCCATGGAAGGTTAAGTCCTTGCACAGGCATTTAACTAATATCAGTCACTTAAGTTCAGTATTTTACCTGCAGACATACTGGATATAGTGTGTTATTAAAAGTGCTTAAAAGTTCCTAGTATTTGTATGAAGAAGCACATAAGGATATAAAATATCTAACAGCACTGGCTGGTGTCAAACGTATCTAAGCAGAGTGTTAAAAAGACCAAATAATCAAAAGAAATAAAAAGCAAGCTTCACTAAATGCGCCACTATATTCGCATTGTTTAGTGCTGTGTTTATAGAGCATATAACGAACATAATAAAAATATTGCTCTTGGAAGCTGTTATGTAAAATGCCAGCAATCCTCCTTTCACATCACCCAATCTGTTCTGGTACAGAGTAAGAAAACTGGCGGAGTCAGGAGTGGGTGGCAGGAGCAGGCCGTTTTGCTATGTGATAGTGATGCCACCTGGTGTATAAATACAGTAATACAGTACAGAGTAGTACAAATCAGATGTTCTAATGGGCTTTTCATTACATTGCCTGTACAAAATGTTGTCATTTCCCCACGAGGAGGTACTTCAGTTCGACTGACCGGCGATTAGCCTGGTCGGCAGTTAACTTAAGTCTACTGCGAGTGAGATGCAGTTGACCCTTTTGTGGTAAACAGTTGCCTATTTTCTTTCTTCTTTTTTTTTTTTTTGCTCTTTGTGGTGTTATTCTTTCTGTTGTATTTCTATGTTCTCTCTGTTCACATTGTTTACTTTATATTCACTTAATTTATTTCCTAATAATAAGAAGAAAACAATGAGGTGTTACCAAAAGCTGTTTTGCAATTTGTACAAGTTTGTTTGAAAGTCTATAAATTCAATTAAAATGGATGGATACCAAAATGGTTGTCACCGCTGTTTTTAATGATGTCTGTGCATGAATGCAAATGTCTGTACTGTCAAGAAATGGTAGACATTGTAAATGTCTACCATTGTACCAATGTAAATTGTTGCTTTTCTCTCAACACTTCTTTGTCTCAAGGTCTGAAGGAGAACAGGACCACATATGAGTAAAATCAGTTTAGTCAATTTATACACAGTCAACAAATCATACTCAGGTGAAAGAAAGAGTCTTATTGGTGAAATTTATTGAAAAGCGGAGGAACTCTTCTTTTTCTCTCAGTGACAGTTTATGCGACCGGCCCCCGCAGACGCCTCTTAGCCCACTTCAGAGCTTTGTACATCGGCCCTGAATACAACCAGGAGGTCAGAAGCAGGAGAAAACATGGAGCTCCCATGTGGAGGTGTGACAAGATCCAAGCAAAGATTATCCACAGCACCACTTTTAGAAAGAGTAAAGTGTAGTAGAGGACGATGCTTCGTCTGCTGACTGGGGGGTTGTGCTGAGGAAAGATTTGAATGGATTCATTTTAGTATGTATTTATGATTCCTGCAATAAAACAAGTTTTGATATCTGTTCATTTTAGATACATGTGAGCCAGTAGCCTGTTATTTCCAACTTGTACATAACTTACCTCCACTGCATCAACCATCATCAAATCATCCCTGTCATCAGACCGCACGAAGTAGGGGGTCTGATAGAAGGGGGGAGTCCTCTTTTCCTCCTTTCTGTGCCCAGAAAACCTTTGTGGCTGTGGTTCCTCCATTGTCAGTGTGAGTCTGTCAAAGTAGATGATGTTGGGTTTTGAACACTTCAAACAACTAACTCTAGCCAGGTTATGACATATTATCAACTGGAAATTCCCAATGGTAAATTACATATCACTGAGCTTAACAAGAAAGCAAAATAAAATAAATGACAACAAATACAACCTGCTTCACTTACCGTGTTGCCTGGTAGGGGAGATTATTTTGTCAGTTTTTAATGTTAGCAACCACAGCAAAATAAACTTTAGAATGTTTTTTTTCAAAATAAAAGAGTGTTATTAAATAATGTTATAGGAACCGATATACAGTGGTGAAGTAACTAACGTTAAGTGCATTTACTCAAATACTGCACTTTTTTTGCACAGTTTTGAGTATTTTGTACATTTAATGCAACATTATACTTCTACTCCACTACATTTATTGGGCAACATTTGTTGCTAGTTACAGTACTTTGTAGATTAGTACAAATACAAAATATAAATCAACTAATACATTATAATATATTACAGATTAAACTACCCAACAGTATATGAACACTTTATACAACTTCAGATGCAATATTAAAGTAGTGCTTAAACAATAATATTATTATTTTTTTTCTGAAATGGGCCATTCTGCATAATGAGTACTTTTACCTTTGGTACTTAAAGTATATTTTGATGCTACTTTTATATTTTACTTATGATTTTTGTACTTGTAACAGTGTATTACTACTTTTACTTAAGTAAAATTCCTGAGTACTTCTTCCACCACTGTAATGGCGTTGATTTATTGGTTCTCCGCCGAGATGCACCACAGAACGCCACAGTAGGTCATTCCTGCCTGTGGCCATCAAACTCTACAACTCCTCCCTAAGAGTGTCAAAAGTCATTGGTCATTAAACTGCTGTTTGAAATGTTCTCTGGTTAATGTACAATAATTAGTTTAAGGCGCAATATTCAGGTCAATGGGCAAGATACTGCTTATTCCGTCATACTTTGTAACTTCTGTAATACTACAATCTTTAAAATCACTACTATTACTCTCCCATTTCTGTCACACACTGTGGCATACATTTACTTCTGTCTATATATTGTCAAATATTGTTTATATTGTATCATTATAAGGTACATACTAGGCTCTTATTATATTTCTATTTCTATTTTTATTTGTTTTGTTTTTTTTACTTTTATGTATATACTTATTTATACATTTCTATTGTGTGTGTATATATTGTGTATATTCTGATTCTGATTCTAAATATATATAATAAAGTATTTTGTTTGGGTAATACACCTTCCCAAACGGATGGGGGCGACATCTATCACTCTGATTCAGTTAATATGATTCTTTGACTTTCATTGGCTGGACGGGACCGGAAAGAGTGCGTAACACCGGCTTCCTATACAACATGGATGAGTCGCAGTCAGTGTGCGTCGGTGACCGCAGATGGTTTAGAGATCTGCGCCGTTTTCCAGGAGAGGATACTGAACCAGAAGTGCGGGTTGTGTCCTGTGTTGTGCATCTCATGCAAGGGGGGAATAATTTATGAAGGGTCGTGCGGAGCTGTCAGACTGGCTATGTTTAATACTAGACGTTGTATTTCAAAAGAGCCAGCTTTAAAACGGAAACGTGAAGAGTTTGACTGTCGTCGGATACAATTGCTACATGACCCCTGTTATGGTTGGCAGCTGCTGAGAAGTCTAAAGTTCATCAGTGCAGGTAGAGTTGAACTATGGCAGCAGCTAAGCTATGCTATGGGTGCTATAGCATCGTTAAACTGGTTGTAACTGGATATCTGACAGGACTTCCGCATTGTGTTTTCAAGTTCATTTCAAATTACTTGCCTCTTTTTTCTGTTTTTTTTTTGCAGCCTTTAAAATGTGTAAATGTGCTGTTTTTCGTAGCCTAACATTGTAGTAACTAGAGCTGCAACAAGTTATCAATTAGTCATTTGACAAATAAAAAATTAAATGCAAAAATGTGCCTGTTAAATTTGAGTATTTGCAGCTTTTCCTTGTTCACCCCCAAACTAAACATCCTTTAGCTTCGGCTGGTAGGTCACACTATGAAATAGAAGACATCACTTTTCAGATGTGCATTTGTCCCACCTTTTTATAGACCAACTCATTTGTTGACTAATATATCTGTAACCTGTATCCCCTTTGTTTCCTTGAACCTCCAGGCTGAACAAAACCTCGTCGACCAAGCTTCAATGGCATCTGGTCAAACAGCTTTCCCTCCCTGCTGTCTGTGGATAGCCCCGAGAACTGACTGAAGAATGGCAAGGTTTAGGCGCAAATCTTGCATCACATTCATCGTTGTTGTATTGCTTGTTCTCATAGTAACCGTGGTCTTAAAGGGCCTTACATCAGAGGACTCTCTGTTCAGAAGCCCTGTTGGTCTGGAGCTGCTTCCAGTCATAAAGGATGAGGTCCAGGTAGTAAACAACAATAAACTTGATCAGACAAAAATGAATGACAGAGATGCCGAACTGGAAGCTACACTGAGGAAGTTCCCTCCTCCCAACTACTATCTGCATGCCTTCTACTATGCGTGGTATGGGAACCCCAAGTTTGACGGCAAATACATCCACTGGGACCATCCTCAGCTGCCACACTGGGACTTTAAGGTAGCTCAGGGGTATCCACAAGGGAGACACAGCCCACCTGATGACATCGGGTCCAACTTCTACCCCTCTTTAGGGCCGTATAGTTCCAAGGATCCCTCCATTATAGAGGCCCATATGCAGCAGCTGCGTATAGCAGCCATTGGTAAGAAATAAACCTAAATTTAACTGTGATAGTATGATATATATCTGCACTAATGAAAATGTAATATTATATTCCATTTCTGCCAATAGAGCCTAAATGGACCCTAAAGTTTTTTGTTATTGGTGTTGTTTTTGTACATCACAGTCTATAGTAGTCTCGTATTTAAATACATTTGCCTTTTATCTATGTAACTGATTCATATTTTGTTAACAAAACTGAAAAATTAAACTGATATATAAGAACAATTATTGTTAATTTCTACCCATACTATATTACTCCTGTGGCACATTTATTATCACTGAAATACATTTACACTATCTTAATAATTTATTATATTTATTAACACGTATCTGAGTGTTTTTTATTCAGGCTCAGGGTGAATGTTTGTATCTTTGTTTATTCTCAGGTGTCATTGCTGTTTCCTGGTATCCTCCAAATATGAAGGACGATAATGGTGATATGATGGATGACTTAGTGCCTTTGCTGCTTGAAGTGGCCCATAAATACCATATTAAGGTCTGTATGAAGAGATGAGTATAGTAGCCGTTTGTCTTGTATTTAGCAATAGACTAAATGATTAATATACAGAGTGTTTTCGCATTGGCATTTAAAGTGTTTATCTTCATTTATGTGTTTACAGGTAGCGTTTCACATTGAACCATACAAAGGTAGAGATGAAGTCAACATGTTCACTAATGTCAAATACATAATTGAGAAGTGAGTACTGCTGAGTTTCCGCTGTGTTGTCAGTCTAACAACAGTGCCATGGCCTTAAACTCCCTCTGTTATGATTCATGGCGTCAATCAATAATTATCAGTCTTTCTATTCCTGTGACATTTTCCTTTCTTTGGTTGTTTATCTTGTGTCGTTTACCACCTCCTCTTCTCAGATACGGAGAGCACCCTGCTTTCTTCAAGTACCGGACAAACACTGGCAAGCTTCTACCACTCCTCTATGTGTATGACTCATATCTGATGAACTCTGAGCAGTGGGCCAAACTGCTGAAGCACACTGAGAGTAACAGCATCAGGGATACCCCGTATGACGCCATCTTCATCGCCCTGCTGGTTGAGGAGAAACACAAGAGGGAAATCCTGACTGCTGGTTTTGATGGTGTTTATACCTACTTTGCCACTAATGGGTTTTCCTATGGGTCCACTCAGCGGAACTGGGATTCTATTAAAGCTTTCTGCGAAGATAACAACCTGATATTCATCCCAAGTGTCGGCCCCGGGTATATTGACACAAGCATTCGACCCTGGAACTTCCAAAACACTCGAAACCGCATCAACGGCAAATACTATGAAACCTCACTGAGTGCTGCATTACAGGCCAGGCCTGATTTTATCTCTATAACGTCTTTTAATGAATGGCACGAGGGGACTCAGATCGAAATGGCAATTCCCAAAACGAGCCAGACTGTGTATCTCGACTACCTGCCAAATAAACCTGCAATCTACCTAGAAATAACTCGCAAATGGGCTGCGATATTTGGTGGCGAAAGACGGAAATGGCAGGAATGAGCTGTAGCAGAGGTCTGTTTGTGGTTGTGTGATTTAATTACATGAAAGCTAAATGGAGTTCTAGTTGCAGAATGGACATGAAGAATAACTGTATGAGAACAGCTAAAGGATTTGCCACAGACAGTGAACTACATTATATTGATTTTGGCTGCAGTGATGTATGGGATTTTTTACATTTCAATTATTGATAATTTAACTGATGTCTCATTACTTCTTGTTTACACAAACCCTAGTACATTTTTGAATTCTGAACACAGTCCGCATGTTTCATCACCATCTACAGCTGAGTCTACAACTGTTCATTGGCATGATTTCCCATCCTGTAATCTGTGAATACATTATACCTCAATAGAAATGTGCACCCTGGAAAGGAAGGAAACACACAAATAAACAAAGCAGTCTGCTGGTAAAGCTGTCGCCTCACTCTGCTTCCAACTCTGCCTCAGCCCAAAAACAATGCCACATAAAGTATGACATAGATTTTGATATTTGAAAGGCATGTCAAGCTGCAATCTGAGATGAATCGTAGCAAAGACATCAGTAGAGCGATCACAGGACAGCAGTTCAAACAGGCGAAGAGCACAGAGAGAGTGGAGGGCAAAAACAAGATTATTTTTATCTGTGGAATAGTTTGCCTTCTTATTAATGGCCTCTCACCATGGTGCATGCCTGGCACATGTCAGAGTGGCGTGTGTCTGTCTGAATGTGTCACTTTTGATTTTACCTCTGATTTTATTTTGTAACATCCCTGCTGTAAAATTTGCATTCCAGGAGGACAGGTTTAAGTCATTATTATGAAATATAAGCTCATTTAAAGGGGCACTTCAGCGATTTTACGCTTTAAGATCAGCTTCCTTGTGATGATGATAAAGTTGCATAAAAAGGTTCTGATGCAGGTAATAAAATATCAGAACCATTACAAACTGAATGAGAGCAATGCTACAGTTTGTAGACTGTGACAATGTACCAAACGGGGTGATAAAACAGAGAATAATAACTTTACCATTTCCAAAGGCAGAGCATCTGTTTCTATTCAAAAACACTGGCTCGGTCGTAGTTGAACAAAGGTGAACTGTGACCTCTGAGCCCACTGGAGATCACACCCAAATAGGAAAGGCATGCTTGAATTTGTCCTTCATTCATCAATAGATGTGAATGGGAGATGTCAAAATATTTGTTGGATGTTAGTGTAATGTGACGGTACCTTAAGCCTGCAATAACAGATCAGTGGAAACAAGTTGTGCACACGACACTGACATATCTTTATGTTGATATGGTGAACTTGTAACGGTAATTTAATTGCACATCCAGCAGTTACAGAGCAACGTTGTCATTAAATTAGAATCGTGTTTCTAGCCACCTGGCGAATGTAAGTCCAAAAACCACTCTCTTTTAGCTCTGTTTTTGGTTTCTTCGGGCTCTCAAGGGAAATATCTGGCTCTTCAGCTTCTGAATTCTCCATTATGCTCACCAGCTAGTGGCTGATTGTGTCTATCTGCTGTTCAGTGCCGTTTTAGAGCTTTTTTTGATGAAAACAGCTGCCTGCTGCGGTGGAAAACCCTATGAGAGCAGTGAAAGCGAACCAAAAAGGTAAAGTTGCAGCCCGGACAGATAAACAATGAGCTGAAACCCACTAAGCTCCATAAAGCCGAGGGGAGCTGCATATTCAAGTGATAATTCATAGTTCATCAGTACGAGTGACCCCTTTCAAATTGTTTTTATATTGTCATTTGGTACATACAAACATTCAGATTATAGCTGCTTTAAGCCTGCCTTAAATGGAGTTGGCATTTGATGGCAAGATGTGGGCATTGGCGGGTCAGAGAAGGGTTCTATTAAGTTGCATTATGGAAATTGGAGGATTTGGTGTTTTTTGGAGCTTGACACATAGAAGGGACTAAATGTCATAATACCTCTGCCTCCATAACTTTAATTTTATGTACTTTAAATAAGATATGTCTCCTATAAGTCCCTCAACTTTATGGAAGTGCAGTAATAAATCTAGAGTGCCTCCTTAAATTATTAATTAAAGAGCTAACAGACATAACTGGTGATGTTAGAGGTTTAATAGCCACATTTGGAAGCTCAAGAACCTCTTTTGTTATTTTTAGAATAATTAACCTGGTGCACCAATCTGTTGTCCACAGTGATGTAAATTACACGAAAATGTTGTGGGGAAATTATCATGGACTACTTAGCTGATGTTTAGAGGTTGTGGCGCATTATGATCACTGACCGGCGGTCACAGTTCAGCTGTGAGGCTCGCCGCTACATCACTTAAAGGCGGCCATGGAGCACATAAACCTCCCATTATTCTGTCATTTGGATAAACAGTCGACACCCGCCAAGCGAGGGGAAACCTTTGCATCCGTGCTTCCTCGCAGCAGAACATGATTCACCTGTTTATTCAAATGAGAACCCTTACGCAGATAATTAAAGTGTAATATGCACTAACGCTGAATGTCAGCATCCTACACACACACACACACACACACTGGAGCTCCGCCACAGCCCGCAGCTGCATTGACGGTAAACAGTGCAAGGTAGCGCATGGGCAGCCAGCAGGGAATTATTCCACATCGCATCACATCCCTGAGCATACATGGCGTCCTCACACACCGAGCCATGAATTTAGTGTGCATGCTGACGGGGTAGCCGCCAATCTTTTTGTTTTTTTTTTTTTACATTTTTGTTGCAGCCATCATTCGTTGCGTCGGTGTGCAGCAGCGGGGAAGATTCAGCGCACATTGCTACAGTAGGTACCATCAGTTTCTGGATCAAGACGATGGATGTGGGCTCATCCGGATCTATTCCTGCAAATACGGGGGACGGGCGCGATTTTTTATTCCAAACGCATCCACATCTTCCGTATGTTGCAAGGTGTTTTTGAAAAAAGGGTACGGACTTCTGGAGGAAATGAGAAGAAAGGTCTATTTTGACTCACGCCTGTCGAGATGGTGAGTGAAATGCATGGCTATTTTTTCCCTGCACCCCACGGCTGAGCAGCGGTACCTGGTTTTTTGACGGCAAATCCTCGCCAGCTAATTAGAAATGATATCCACAGAAAACACATCACACATTCACTGACCTGGGCTTTCCCATTTCCTTTATTTTTACATAACATGTGTACATTTTTAATGCTCTGAGTATATACACAACAGTATATAGGCGACTTTAGCGACACATAAAGGGTTTTTTCTCTAGAGAATGCGAATTGTATTTCAAATCTTACATTGCACACATAGCACATTTTTTTCCAGCATTATCCTCCACGCTATTATTTATATTCTGCGCGTTTTGGTGCGCAAAAAGGGGGGTGTTGTGTTAGGCAACACATACAATATTTCAGTGAATCTTTAATATTCAACTTTAATGCAGTGTCACGCCAAAAGACAACCATTTTAAACAGTGTCTCGGCTATAGCATCACGTTTTAAAATGACCTTCAGTGCTCGGTGGCTGGAAATTGATTCTCACCTGGGATGGAGTGTCCTTTTACAATCAGTGCTGTGGCCTTGCTGACACAATGCACATAAATCAAAGACAAAGTAGGAAAAAAATGTAATTTTGCAGGACATGAGCCCTATAGCCTACCTGTTACTAAAAACACCCACATAAGGGATTTTGTTGCATCTCTGTAAAGTGATGCTACCTAAATCTTTGGTTGCGTTTTTTTCTGCCTCTCTCCAGTCATTTCAAACGTAGCTCCGCTGCAGACTACTCACCCATGCGGTGCTCTTTCTGTGTCCCAAATACATCACAATGCATCTGACATAACCTCAGTTATGTTATTTGAAATCTGAATGAATGTTTGAGCTGCACGTCTCACTCATTTGTTGATGGAGAGATGGAAAGGACAGGGGGACATAGTATAAACTGTGTGAGCCATATTACCCTCTCATGTTCAATACTCTGACCTCAGCACCATCACCATGGAGACACTATAACTTTACTGCATACTACATATTTAATAAGCCTTTCATTATATTAGAAGATCATTTTGATCTTCACTACTGTACTCTCCAGCCTGTCTGAATCTTTACTAATTTTACATATTTGACATCAAAAGGGTATACATGGGCTGCATCCTCTGTAAAGCAAAGAGCTTATTGCTGCTTCTGACGGAAAAACATGTTTCAGCAGTGTAAGAGGATTTGCCTACATGAAAATGTATTGATACCGCAAGCCTTTAAAAGGAGTTGCACTCATCCGTCCCTGCTTCATGTGGTCTTCATTTGCAGATTTGTATTACCTCAAGTCACAGATGGGAGAGATGAAGGGGTGCTATCATATATAAGGTCAATATCATTCCCCATATGTCATATTGGACAGACAATGTGAGGAAAACCTGTGTTGGAGCTGGTCTTAATTATTTAAATCTGCTACAGTGATGTGTGGAATAAAAAACAGTCACCTCCCAAGGTCTGTTTCTGCACTTGGTGTCTCAATCTGCTTGTATGGCCTCTTTATGCAACATGCAGGTGTGCTGAGCCCTGGAGTCAGGGGGGCTTTCTATTCTCCTCAGCCTTAAGATGGCAGCATTCTCTAACAATACATAGTATATGCCAAAAAACTAATAACAACTGGAAGCTTACATCCATGATTAACTGGCATATTTGAAATAACATTCACGATTAACCAGCAATTTTGCAATTATATTCGTGTTTTCATTTAATTTTCCAGGTAATTTAAACGTTTTTTTTGTGGAGATCAAGCTGCATGTTGATTGCTTACAACCATGATGATAATAGTGCATGATTTTTCTGTGGTGATGTTCAGCTTCTTTCCAACCTTCCTAGTCCTAATTGATTCTCTCTGATTCTCTCTTTCTGCTCACGTAAAGGAGGCATCATTAAGAAGACCTGTACGTTCAAGATCAAACACACCTCATTAGATCATTACGGATCATTGTTATTCTGCGTAAGGGCAAAAGAGGCATTTCTTAGCCGTGACCTGCAAACGTTTTTGTCTATGAGCACTGAATCACAAAGAAGATTGATCCCACCGTCGACCCAATGTAGGAACTGCTCCCTCCGATTCCCGCAACCTCTATTCTTGCTTGGATTTCAGCATTCAGTCAAATCCACCAGGTTTGTATTATAATTTTCATGAAGAGGCAACACATTTTTCTTGAAGTATTGATCCAAAGTAGTGGGTGCCTTATACACGACAGGGTGTATACTCATAGATTATTGCAAGAATGGGAACACTGTGTTCACATGCAGATGCTCACAAGCCAACATTATTTAATTGAGGCACGAATGATTTGAGTGAATGATCCAAAATACATTATAAACACATGGTGGTAATGTGCAACACCTTTACATGATTAGGTGATTAGTCTGGATGTTGTACCCTGTTGATCGAGACTTTATTCTGGCTTCTCTTCTTTGTTGTGCCCTTTTCAGGACAGAGTATGCCATCTGCACCTTTTCACAGAATCCTACGACCCCTTCTACTCGGAACTTTTATACTGGGATGCTTTGTGACTCTGTTTTTGATGTATTTTAAACCATCCACCAGCTGGTTATCGGGTCCTGTAGAGTCAACAGTATCCACAGACCGGGTCAAGAACCTCTTCTCTACCAAGAGCGATAAAAACGTGACCACCGTGCTGATCTGGCTCTGGCCTTTCGGACAAACCTATGACCTGAGCGTGTGCAGCTCTCTCTTCAACATTGAGGGCTGTTTCATCACAGCGGACAGGAACCTCTTCAACAAGTCAGATGGGGTCGTCATCCATCACCGAGACATCTGCACTGACCTGTCCAACCTGCCGCCAGTCCAGCGACCATCCTTCCAGAAGTGGATATGGATGAACTTGGAGTCACCGTCACACTCTTCCCAGCTGCCTGGGATCGAGAACATGTTCAATCTGACTCTCAATTACCGTCAGGATGCTGACATTGAAGTGCCTTATGGGTCCATTGTAGCAGCGGAGGGCGATGAAGACTTTGTCCCACCCAGCAAAAACAAGCTGATCTGCTGGATTGTGAGCAACTGGAACCAGGACCACGTGCGGGTGAAATACTACAATGAGCTGTACAAACACATTGAGGTTCACGCGTATGGACAAGCCTTCGGGGAGTACATCTCTGACCAAGACTACTTCCCCACCATCGCCAGCTGTAAGTTCTACCTGGCTTTTGAGAACTCCATCCACAAGGACTACATTACTGAAAAACTGTACAACCCACTCTCTGTGGGGACAGTGCCAGTGGTTCTTGGCCCGCCCAGGCAGAACTACGAGAACTTTATCCAGGGAGACGCCTTCATCCACGTGGACGACTTCACCTCGCCCAAGGAGCTGGCTGATTACCTGCTGCTCCTGGACAAGAACGAGGAAATGTACCTCAGGTACTTTGAGTGGCGGCGGCACTTTAAAGTAAAGAAGGCCTATTTCTGGGCAGAGCACACATGCCTGGCTTGTGATTACCTGCGTAGGCACAAGGAGTACAAGGCATTCAATAACCTTGACAAGTGGTACTGGGGCGGATAGTGTTGTGAAGGGCTATGCAGTGCTTGTTTTGTCGTTGAAGGCAGTGCTTTAAGATTTTTTGTCCTTCGGTTAACATGAAGGTTCATTACTGTTCTGTCCCGGGCTCCCGAATGATGTTTTTCTATTGGTTCAGTGGCACAGTGAGAGATCCATCTTGTTTTTTTATTTGCAAGCCAGTTTTGCTCAGCCTTACTTTGCCTTTTGTGTTATTCATTTATTATTTATTTTTTATGAATTACAAATGCACTTCATTTTTTACTGTTATTTCCACTCATGTTTTGCTTAACATGCCCACATTTGCTGCTATTTTTTTTGTTTTTATTTTCTATTAGTATGAATGCGTGATTGTGTGGATGTTCCTGTACAACAAATAACATTCATGATAAAAGGTTGTTGTTTTTTTCTTTAAATATTATCTTTTCAGGAAGTGGCACACAGCGGACATCGGAATAGTGTTGGCTGCAGAAGAAGACTGACACAAAAAGTACAAATATTTATGTAATATTTATTCAAGTGAGGCATTATATGATAAAAAAAAAAACAATCTCATCTGTGCTAGTGATGCAGTCACCTATGCAGTGTTTACTGAACTCAAATGTGAAAGTAGTTCAATTGTGTCATGTACATATTGTGTATTTTTGGAATTATGTAGCTGTCATTTTTTCCGTTTTTTGTAATTTTGCATCTGCACTGCAAACCCAACTGTTACCTATCTTTACATATGTACAGTAAGACAGACGGTCATCGTATTATGTGGCTGTAGATGGCATACGGTGATCATTACCCCGGTGGTCTCCGACAGCAGATGTGACTCTGTGCTATGCGAGAGGGAGGTTACTATTTTAATCATGTTGTGAATTGTTCATTGTCACATGTGAGTGTGACACAGTGCAGTTGGAATCCTGTGTGAGTGAGGATAGTACAGTACGGAGCCTTGTACTGCAATATGGAACTCCTGCCCTTCTCATTATGAAGCAGTCTGATTTGACCAACAAAAGTCTGAAATTTTTAACTGAATACAGTGACAGGAAATAGTACACAGAGTCTATTGTATTGTGTCATTCCACAATGTGACCTAAAATTTTTTTTAAAATTTACAGTTGAAGTGGGTGTGAATTGGGATCAGATCAAGTGAGAAAACGCCCATATGTTTGGGACCTGTAAAGAACAATGTGAAAGATATAAAATGTTAGCGATTATTATCTGTCTTTGAATCATCACACCTGGGAGTTAGAGGTTGCATGTGAACAATATTTTTCAGATTTTCTTTTTGTTTACACCTGTTTACAGTTAACCACTCAAGATCACACTAAGACAGCTCAGCATCTGTACATATCACATCACTTTTAAATGTCAAAACAGCTAATCCATGAACAATGCATCTCAACAGCACTCAGCAGCTATTGACATGATGGTTAAGTTTCTACAGAAAGTACTGTGCAAAACCATGTCAACATTTTATGCAAGATGAGCCGCCGTCTTCTTGGTCAAAGTACTCAAACATGTTTCAGGTTCAGGTTTCATTTTGATATTTCTTCACTGTCAAAGGGACCATTGATGTAAATTATAATGAATTCAGTTATTTTTCTTATGGAATCTGGTTGCAAATGCCATAGTGAAACCTGTATATAAACCTTGTAGTGAACTGAATCATCATCAGGATCAAACCAGCCCACTAACACAGATCATTCCTGTATGTGCACCAGACTGAGGGAACTCCAATGGTGTTTGCATTCATGGAGAAAAGAAACAATGTGTTGTATATATTTTTAATGTTCAAATCTCTTTATAACATGCAAGTGTCGTCAGGCAGTGAATGTGATTTCGCTGCACTTTGTAAGTAATGTTGGTGCTTCAAAAGGCTGTGAATCAAGGCGAAAGGAGAGAGACACTTGAAAAGGTTAACGTCAGACAATGGTTTTAGTGTTGTGAGGAGGATGTTTTCATCAAGGGAGGCAATTTTACACTGAATATTTTTTTGATTAGGCAGTAATTCTGTTGGCTTGACCTAAATGGAAAAAGCCTGTCCAAAATGCAGCAGAGAAATAGCACTTTTATTCATGTGGAGTTGTGTGACTCACTGTGCTGGTGCCTGTCTTAGATGGAGCTATTGTGAGTCCAGTAACTGTCATCCAAGACTTCGGTTGTCACACAGATTAACTATGAAACTGCCACTCATGGTTTCATATTGTACAGTCCAATCTCATGTATGAAAACAAAGGTTTCTTGTCCAATGTGGTTGGTGACTTTAAGGATCAAAAGATATGTTTAGTTTTTTTAGCGTTGTCTGTCTTTTTCATACTCTCTTCCTTTCTCTCTTTTTGCACAAAAACAACATGAGGAGCCGTGGCTTCCCTGTCCCCTGTCTGAGTCTGTGAGTGTGTCACAGCACCAGAAAGTGAATCAGGATGTCTCTGGATACTGTCTGACCTGGCACTGATTTTGCTGGAGTCCTCAAAAACTCTGCATACAGAGTGGGATGAAATCTTTGTGTGTGGTTGAACGTGAAGATTTCTCCAGAAATGCTTATTTTCTGCCAGTTCACTGAAATTATCAGTGAGTCAATCAGTATGTAAGTTTTTTGCCAAATCACTGTATTTTGCCAAATGTTGTGTTTTACTGTAGATGTCTGATAGTGTCAAAGAAAATAAAGATATGGCCAACTGAGCAAACATGAGTGGAGCATAGAGCACTTTTCTTAACTAGCTGATGATGTATTTGATGGTAACCCTTTGAAAAAAGCTTGAAACCAAAAAACTTCTTCGTGAGATTCTGTTGTTGGAATATTAAAGGAATAGTTTAACATTTTGGGAAATACACTTAGCTTTCTTGCATATCCAGATTCAGAGGCTGCTTAGCTTAGCTTTGCTTTAAGACTGCAAGTAAGTGGAAACAGCTAGCCTATATCTCGTTCGTTCACTGTACAAAAATAAATTTAGACATTCATGATTTTACAGGGGGTTAAACAAATGAGAAATAATGTGATAAATATATAATGTAAGAGGATCTATTGGCAGAAATGGAATATAATATTCAGAGGTATGTTTTCATTTGTGTATAATCACCTGAAAATAAGAATCGTGTTTTTGTTGCCTTAGATATGAGCTGTTTTTATCTGTAGAGGGAGGGGGTCCTCCTCTATGGAGTCCGCCATGTTAAACTTCCGTGTTTGTACAGTAGCCCAGAATGGACAATCCAAGTAGGGCCCTTCATGTTTTTTGTGAGTTCTGCAGCAACCACAGTTTCTCCAGGAAGGCAACGCTAGATTGAATGATTGACTGAATCCTACACACTGGTCCTTTAAATTTCAGTACGTCCATCATTTTACAAGGATCTTGTATATATGTGAAAGTTTGCATTCTTAAGGTTAGTTGTAACAAATTTAACATAATGACACCTAATATAGGGCTGTTACATCTATATCAAATGTAATTTCCACAAATGTTGCCCACACTGTTCTCCAGTGCCATGTAATGCAGGCGGAGGTATAAATAGCTATCCAAAAGCCTTGATAAGTGATTGATGAGAGTGAGGAGAGCGTGTTGTGGTGGTTACGCCTCGATCCTCCGGCTGTTGTTAGTTACCCCATATCCTCGCTAGTGCTCTGGTATTTACAGTCGCCTCCTCCACCGCACAGAGATGACACGTCTTTGTCAACTGCTTCAGCGCAACGTTTCAGGTCAAAGTATGTGATAAATATGTGTGTTGCCAGGATCAGTGGTGCAAATAATCCATCGATGTCAATTGGGGATTAATGTGAAAGTTCAGGTGGCGGGGGAATGTCCCTCTAGTTTTCAGAACTCAAGACAGTGTCCCACTGGAGGACATTGTCCTCAGCAGTAGATCTCACATTTGCTTGGTTAAATACAGTACAGAACCTTACTCTATAGATTGCATCGATACACCCACAAAACCTATAACAAGCACAGCTCTTGTGCTAATTATATATATTTATATTTCTTAATTTGTTATAAACATATTTACAACCATGAGACTTTATGGTTGATGGCTGGGCTTTTTTCGATCCATCCAATAATCTGGAGCATTTACAACACTCCTAAGTTTGTTTATTTGTCCTGCACTATTTGTATGATAGGAAGCGTTCCAGCACAAGGCACTGATGATGATATTATTACTGGAGAATAAAGGAAGTCTTCCATTGGGGCTCTGCAGCTGTTTGACTAAAGATTGAGACTTTCCCTGTAGCAGGTATGTTAGAATTTCTGTTTTTTGTTTTTAAAGGTTATCTCTGTTTTTCAGACTGTGAATAATTTAACAAAATTCTAGGACTAAATGTATTATTTAAGGGATATATTGAAATATGTTTTGTGCTCTAACTTGCTGCTGCTGACACCCAAAGGTAATCAGCAGCTTCATCTATGCAGTCCTAATACCTCAAACTCAAACTGTGGGCTGGGAGGAGGCGAGGGATCGAAGAGGAGAAGATTTTAATGGTTTGTGCATTCCTAGGAGTTGGCAACTTTCTCTCCTCTTTAGCAGCGAATATCATATGTCTGGCTCTGTGACATGTCTTGTCACCCACTCATACCATGACTCATTTTGGTGAGAATGGGGGAGGGGAGGGGGCAGAGTCCGTGGAGGCATTACCCGGGTGCTCACAGGGCCTCCCTGAAGGGGTGTAAGGTTTTGTGAGATAGTAGACTTAGTAGATTGTATCTCCTCTCCCCCCTGCAACCCCCTATGTGGCTATCCTGTTCAGTCCAAAACGCTGTGTTGAAAGCTAGCTCTCCACGTCACAGGAGAGTGCAAAGGCCCGCTCAAAGGGCCAGGTTTGTGTGAGTCCTCTCATTAAATACTAGACTCGCCCCTCATCTCAGCCTAATGGATCCCACTTATGCTGTCATCACCATGCCAACCAGCTGTCAACTCTGGTGCGGCGAGGCTTTTGTGCTTCAGAGAGATGCAACTGTGTCGTGTTGATCTGTCTCAGTCTACAACAAGTCACCACCTCAAAGGAGCCACCAAAGTAAATGCTTCTCTTCTTCTCTAAGATCATTTGATTAAGAGGCGGAAAAAACTGCCACTGACACCTTATTGTAAAGACTGAATACATTAAGATAAGAGGACACCCGAGTCCAGGTCAAATAAAGGCCTATTTATTGGGACTAGACAGGCCGCATACGAAATCTGTTGGCAGCTGCTCACTAGTTGACTTCAGAGGATTAAGCAGGCAAAAAGGAATACGCAAGATCAGCAAGCTTTTTGCTCTACAGAGTTGGCACTGTCTGGTGTAGAAGTTAATAATCCATGAGACAAAGACCAGCACCTGTTATCTTATCAGATAAAAATCTGAGCGGTTATAATAAAATTACAGACAGGCATGCATGAGTGCAGATTAATGCAGGAAATATAAACACAATATACAATAATCTCTGCTCCAATATCCAGTGAATAACACTGCCTGTTGACATGCAATTTATTTCAGACTATGTTAATACACTTGAATAGATGAGAGTTTGCTGGTGAATATAGGTCACCTCCACCCTGGCTTTATGTCGCATGATGACAGACATACTGTGAAGCAGCCACCAATGCAACAAAGACTAGAAGCTTTTGATAGGCAATGACTATATTTGCCCTACAGTTGGTTCTGGGTTTATTTAGGGTCTGCATGGCTTTGTGATTTGCAGCCGCTGATCTGGACATCAGCAGGGAACAAGGGTACAATACAGTGGTAATTTAATCCAGAGCAGCAGATGACTCTCTGTAATCCGTCAGATGCACCTACTTAAAAAAAAGAAGAACCTGAAGGATGGCACGACTTCAAATCAGTGATAATTCCTACACCTGAATTCTTGACATGATATGGTTACTTTGTGCTGAAAGCCTTACATAACAGGTCAAAAATAACAGTCTTACATTATTCCTCAGGGGGTTGTAGATACCGCCTACATATATTCACATGTTCCAACATCATCTGCTGATCCAACAAAGCATTATGTTTTATGTATTCACAAGTGTGTAATCCTAGATGAATTTCTTAGCAAGGAGTGGTACTTAAGAGAAAACAGAGGGGAAGAGGGTTCATCTGGAGAGAGTTGCATTCCTTTCAGCCTCATCCCTGTCACTGACCTCCCTGTGTGTGTATACGAGGGATTAGGGCTGGTGGTCTTCTCAGGCTATTTTTACAAAGATGTCCGCCCCCTGATCCTTTTGGAAAACTGATATGAGCACATGTTCCAAGATTCAAATGTAATTAGTCAACTGTCAGTCAAAGATTCTTAAGAACTGGAAAAGGAGGATTTGTACTATTTCAGACATGCATTTTTAACACCTGCAACAGTGCATTCAATTGGTATATGTGACTGAGCCAAACAGACACACAGACAAATCAGATGCATTGAATTCTATGTTGTACTGTAATGACCTGAGTACGCCACAAAAATCGCTGATCCAATTTGGCTCAATATTGCACCAATGCAATAACTTTACTACCCAAGACAAGGGGTTGTTTTGACCTTGTGTTAGTGATATTTTTTATGTAACTGTTATTTACCCAGACTAAATACAGTATTGTTGCGATAGATCTATACTCTAGCTCTTTTTAAACTTAAATGTCACTTTTTGTGAATGGATGTCACATGATGTGTATCCTTGGCAGTTTTGGATGTCACATGCATATAATTTTTTTTACTACTTACAATGAATTTGTGAGAGTTTTAAGGTAAAGCCTGAGCTTGTCATGTCCAACACTGGCTCAGAATAACCATATTTTAGGTTGGGTACACAACCCAAAAATAATATAAAAAAATATGAATATTAACACAGGGTCAAATGCTAGGATGCGTAGGTGCTACATTGACCCAAACTGGGCCAGTTTTTAACCCAGTGATTTGTAGTGTGTATTACCAGTTATCCTTTCCGGAGCAGCAAACTAAGAATTTGTTTTTAATGAGTATAGCTATCAACAACAGTCATTCCTGTTCCTCGTCCTTTATTTTGTTGTGGATGGATTGAACATCCACAGACCCGCAGCATCCCCCTTCTGAAGTACTGCCAAGGCGCTCTCAATAGCTACTGAGAGGTCCTGGCATTATAGTTCAGTACCTGGCAACCACAAAGCTGCTGGCGCCTACCTCTCATAAGCCATCTGCAACTGCTTGTGTGTGTAGCACACTGACAAAGGCCACAAGTGTGTCCAGACACATCACAGCATCCAAATAGCCAACTGCCTCTGCTGTGTACTCATATCCAAACTGATATTAGTGTGTGGGAAAGAAAAATATTTTGCATCTTTAAGCTCAAATCTCATCTATTGTTCAAACATTTTGGCACTGGCGTTAGTTAGCACAGTAGGCTGTCATTTTCCCCAGCAATAATAAGTCTTCTAGTCCTAACACTGCATTTCTTTTTGCTTTTACGCATTTCTGGAATAAAGCAACAATGATTAAATGAGTTCAAGGGCTTAGCGATCTCTGCACCATCAGCTCCCTTAAAAGGTGCAGAATGATGCAGTGGAGCATGTTCATTCTCCCCAGAGATTACCGCTAATAAGAGGGCCAGTATTTATAGAAGATCCCCCCCAGTGGATACCCCTAATCCTGCCTCACCCCTTTTCATCCCTGCCCCATCCATATCTCTGGACCGCTCGCTCTTTACAGCCCCCAGCTCCAGCTTCATCCTCGGCCCATATCAACTGAGGTAGAGACTTCTTTAATACAACACTGTTTTGTGTTTTTTTTCAGATTCCTTTGAAAGAAGAGGGGAAAAAATTGCCTGGCCTCTTCTCTTGCTTGATGACAGGGGAAGAAATTGCCTGGACTATTACAGGGCATTTTCCATCTTCCTGTTCTTCCTTATTGTCCAATTTTCTTCCTCCTGCTCTCTTTGACCTGCAGCTAAGAAAAGCAAACAACAATGTCCACCAGCGAGCGTTTTGACTGCCATTACTGCAAAGACTCCCTGCTGGGGAAGAAGTACATAATGAAAGAGGACACGCAGTACTGCACTAAGTGCTATGAGAACCTGTTTGCTAACTGCTGTGAGTGCTGCTCTCTACCAATTGGCTGTAACTGCAAGGTAAGGAAGCACCCGTGTTACCCTGAGAGTTATAGCTTTGATGTCAATAATGTGTAATGTGTGCATAGTCTATTTATTAATATTATTATCTAAAGGTTAGAGACATTTTAATGCAGTTTACTTTTACTTACTTTTAAGTTATTCTTGCATGTTTCTATCCATGCACATTCTAAATAAATACTTTACCATACAGAATATCCACAGGTCCAATAAATAAATAATGTGTTAAATATCAACAGGACTTGTCCTACAAGGATCGCCACTGGCACGAGCAGTGTTTCAAGTGTGCAAAGTGCAGCCGCTCTCTGGTGGAAAAGGCCTTTGCTGCCAAGGATGATTTGTTGCTCTGCACTGAATGCTACGCCAATGATTATTCCTCCAAATGCACCACCTGCAAGAAAACTGTCATGCCAGGTACATGTTGGGATGATGATGATGAAGATAATGATGAATATGACTGGACGATATCACCTAAAATTGATCATATCCCGATATCATTTCACATTTATGTTTATGACAATAAATGTTTGTAAAAATATAAAACCATTGTTGAGATAGAAAGTTTGTTTTTGACATACGATTTCACTACCCTGCATATAGCATCTATTGCTATATACAGAAAAGACGCAACTAATATATTTTAAAAGAAAACATTTAAAACACACACACAGCAATGACATTTCTTAATTTCCAAATATTTTTTCCATGATTATTAAGATTGCATCATCCTCTCCCTACAGATAAAGCACGACTATTTTGGGCTGCAGTGTTTCTGTCATAGAGGTACCATATGCTGACTAAGCTGCTCTCTTCCCCTGTGCCAGGTTCCCGCAAAATGGAATACAAGGGGAACAGCTGGCATGAGACCTGCTTCCTGTGCCACCGCTGCCAGCAACCAATAGGAACTAAGTCCTTCATCCCAAAAGACACCGGCTACTTCTGTGTGCCCTGCTTCGAGAAGCAGTTTGCCTACCAGTGCTGTGCTTGTAAGAAGGTAGGGTTACAGCTGAGTGTTTTATGTGTATTGACTGCTTCAGTACAGTAAATCCCCTGACTCTGGTATTTTAATGTTACTGACACTGAATAGTAAAAGTATGCTTATCGATAGGAATGTCACTTTGTGTCTTTATGTCTCTTTCACTTTTGCCATGTCTGGATTTGTGTTACCGCTAGGCCATCACAACAGGTGGAGTGACATACCAAGAAAAACCCTGGCATCGCGATTGTTTCTTATGCATCAGCTGCAGAAAGCAGCTGTCCGGTCAGCGCTTCACCTCCAGGGAAAACTACCCCTACTGTCTTGAATGCTTCAGCAACCTGTATGCAAAGAAGTGTGTGGGCTGCACCAAGCCCATCACTAGTGAGTCACTGGCAGGGCTCTTGTTTTCATTCATTCTGACACACTCATATAGGTCTTTGTGTAGGAACTGTCAGATAAACAAGGTGAAAATTATGCATTAACCTGCACAGTATGTTAATACATAAATCTTTGTTTGATGTGTGCAGGTCTGGCAGGGGCCAAGTACATCTCTTTTGAGGAGCGCCAGTGGCACAGCGAGTGTTTCACCTGCATGCAGTGCTCCGTGTCTCTGGTGGGACGCGGCTTCCTCACCCAGCGTGACAACATCTTGTGCACCGACTGCGGCAGGGAGAAGTGACCTTTCCATGAAGGGGTCACAGTTACAACAAGAGCTCATATTCTGATACAGATATTGTGCATCCATGAATATTTCTTCATAGCATGCCTGTTACACAAACAAACTCTTAATGCCAAAAACGTATTTTTGTGTTAATGAGCATTAATTCTCTCACATTGCCCACACACAAAAAATCTGTGATAAAAATAAACATATATCTGTAAAGTAAAGTGGAATGTACCCCTCACATACTTTAATTTTTGAAAAGAAAAAAATGATGTTGCAAACATATTAGAGGTGATAGCGAATTTTATTTTGATAATTGATTAATTGTTTCAGTCATTTTTCAAGCAAAAATCCAAAATACTGTTGGTTACAGCTTTTTGTCTTATATGACAGTAAACTGAGTATCTTTGGATGTTTGCCTGTTGGTGAGTATTTCCCACTATTTTATCTTATGGACAAAAAGATTTATCAACTCATAAAGAAAATAATCATCAGTTTAATTTAATTGACGATTAATTAGCCCCGATTGTAATTGTAGGAATTATTCTATTATATTTGGCGGCCGCAACATGCTCGAAAAGTCAGGGAAATTTGCACAAAATTCAAACGTGGCGAAAATTCACATATGCAATTGTACCCGTGCCCGGGCGCCGCCAAATGGCTAAAACCCGCCCCCCAGAATCAGACCTCAAGACATGTTAAGATCAACATGTATGAAAATTGGTACGCATGTGTATCATGATGGGACAAGCAGAAAAGCCTCTTGGACCCATACCCCAAACTAAACAGGAATTCAGCCATTTTGGATTAAGAAGCCATTTTTGGCGATTTGCAACTGTTGTATTTGGACGAACTCCTCCTGGGGAATTTATCGGATCGACTTCAGATTTGGACACACCCATTTAAAGACATTTACGATTAAAAGTGGCCCTGAAGGCAACATGGTTTGACTTAATTCAATTCTTGTTTTTGGAACAATTGAGGATGGCATGAAGAATAACAGGTGTAACAGCCTGATCAAATGGGGGTGAGTTCTTCTCTATACATGCCAGAGCTGTGTATTATTAGTATGTTTTTACCACATCCAAATGGGTTTGCACCCTCAGGCACCTAGCATTTCCTGCACGAGAACCTTGCCATCACCTTTTTTAGCTGCATGGGAAATTTACATTTATGAGCTTTGACAAATATTATCAGTAACCTCTCAGACCAACAGTTCATGTTGAGATTCTGAACAATAAGCTGCTGAAAAAAGTTAGTGATCAGCACACAACATCTCATCTCATCTTCATCTTCATCCGCTTATCCGGGATCAGGTCG